TGGATAAACTCAAGCCCCGTCCTATATTATTTTCTCATTGACTATCTTCTTTGACTCAAAAGTTATGTAAATTGGTTTGCAAACAGCATTTCATGTTGACTTTAGGTCTTTGACACACCTCTCAACACATGGCACATGCATCCACGTGAAAAGCATTGCAAATAATAGCACAAAAAAAAGTTGCATACAAAAATAAAAAGGTAGTGTTTCTGACATAATCAGTCATTAAGTATGAAACTGAATGCACTTCATATTGATCACTTACATAATTAACGTTTTGACTAGAACAATTTTACACTATTAGGGTTTTTAATATGATCACAACGACTGTAGGAAGTCCAGGACTGCCTTATGCCAGGTCTCTGGATCGTCAAGGTAACAAGGATGCCCCGCCCCCTTCATTACCACCACTTTGTGATTGGGCAGATGTCTCAGGTTGCTTAGCGATGCTTCCCCAAGCTGAATATCCTGGTCTCCATAAACTATAAGAGCTGGAGTCTGTACAGGTACATAAGGATGAACATCACTCATCTTTAGCACATTTTATAATGGATGGATGTATGTTTCTGTTTGTTCTCTGATGGACTCATTCCTGTCTCACCTGCACGCTGCTGTACTGCTCTGCTGTGAACTTCTCTGTGCAGATGGGAGCTACAGGGATGTAGGCCTTGACCTGCTCGGCGTGCTGGAAGAGGAACGGCAGCGAGTACATGCCGCTGAGAGAAGGACTGATGATCACCACGGGGCCGGTCTGCAGAGCCTCACACACCTGTCTGAGGAACACACCTGGAGCCGGCTGACCCACTGGAGCCGGAGCCGGAGCCGCCTTAGAATGACCCAAACCTGAGGGAGCAACGACACAAATGAGTGGGTTTAGGCAGAAATCAGTGCGAGTGTTAAAGTACTACATATCTGTCTATCTATCTATCTATCTATACTGTATATAATTTTATTCCAGATGTATTATTTAATATATAAATATGTATTTTATAAAATAGGTTACTTTAAAGTGTTAAATAGTATTATATTTATTTATAAAAAAAAATGTTTTACCGTATTAATATAAAAGAATAATATATTAATTTAAATATTAACAAAAAGGGCCATGGAATTACAACAGGTTTTAAGATGGCAAACTTATGGCAATTTTTGCCAGAACACAGAATATTTGTAATGGTTGCTGAAACGGATCTATATAGTAGTAGATTTTTATACACTTTTAAAAAACTGAAAATATACAGTATTTTATATATTCTGTATATATATGTATATATATATATACTGTATATTTTCAGTTTTTTAAAAGCGTTATATTTAAATATATATATATATATATATGAAATATTCTTTATAAAAATAGTAATATACATTAGTTTTTTAATATTTATATT